TAGGCACCCGCCACCACACTCAGCAAATGTTTGTATTTCTAGTAGACACAGGGTTTCACTCTGTTGGCCAGGCTGATCTTGAACTCCTGACCTCAAGCAATCTGCCTGCCTTGACCTCCCAAACTGCTGATACTACAGACATGAGCCCCTGCTTCTGGCCCAAGAAGCCTTTTTAATGGAGCACCAACACTGACAACAAGATGAAATAAAAAGTTATTCTGGATTTGATAAATACATAGGAAGCATTTAATAAGTATAGGGTGCTATGTTAAGCAGGTAAGTTCTATGGGAGTTACAAAGATAAATAAGAGAGTCCCGTGGCCTCACTTGGAGGCTGGGAAGCGACAATAATGCCTTTTGTTCATTGACTAAGCTCCTACTATGTGTTGCTTAAAGCACTTTACATCTCTTACCTCAAATTCTCACGAATGCATTGCTGACTTGATATTCTATAAGGAAATTGAGGCCAAGAAATGTTAAGAAACTTGCCACTGGGCTGAAAGGCTGCAATTCCAATCTGAATCTGCATAGAGAATGCCAAATATTGACTATGAATAGCACTTCATACACAGTTCTGTTAAGATTAATTAGACCAGTTTACCTGACAATGGCAATAATAGATAGCAACCTTATTGAATAATTACCATGTGCCAAGCCCAGCACTCGGTAATTTACATGACATGTCTACATTTTCCACATTCTCTCTGATGCAACATCTACAAATGCTTCCATTTTGGAAAAAAAAAAAGCCGGATGCAGTGGCGCATGCTGTAATCCCAGCACGACTTTGGGAGGCTGAGGCAGGAGGATTGCTCGAGCCCAGGAGTTCGCCATCAGCTTGGGCAATAAAGTGAGACCTCGACTCTAGAAAAAAATTCCAAAAATTAGCCAGGTGTGGTGGCACACACCTGTGGTCCCAGCTACACGGGAGGCTGAGGCAGGAGGATCACTTGTGCCTGGACTCAAGGCTGTAGCGAGCCATGTTCACCCTCTCAGAAACAAACAAGAACACAAAACAAACAGGTTTCATCCAAGACTCCTGCCTCACCCACATCCACTCAGTTTCTAAACCCTGTAAATTCCACCACTTTAATAGCTCTTTGATTCATCTTTTCCTCTTCATTCTCACAGTCACGACCTTAGTGGGAACCACCGTCATCTCACAGATGGATTCCAGTAAAAGCTTCTCAGCCGTCTCTCTGCCTTTCCAATCCACCTTAGGAAGCCTATACAGTACTCTTTCTAAAACGCGGACATGAACATGTCTCTCCCTGAGTCTTCTTCTGACCTTAAAAAACAAATCTGAATGGAGAGCCTGGATGGTACCCTGTGAACCTGCTCTACTCTGGCACTTTAAAAAGCCTGCCCTTTCCTGGACTTTACATCTTCTCCCCTGTCCCAAGGTCTCTGAGCCGGTTTCTGTTTCTTTGCTCTCAGCTTGCAAATCTGACCCACTCCCACTCTGCCTCCCTAACCCTTACCCTGTCCTGGCCAACTTCTATTTGGCCTTCAGCACCCTTCCTAACGAGAAGATTGTCCTGTGGTTCCTCGTTGCTCAAGCAATACAGGTAAGATGCCAATTCTAGGTACACTCATAGCATCCCAAGTTTCACCTTAATAATGCTGTTCTTCTGATTTTTATTTTTCATGAGACAGGGTCTCACTCTCACACAGGCTGGAGTACAGTGGTATGATCACAGCTCACTGCAGCCTCAAACTCCTGGGCTCAAGCGATCCTCCCAGCTCAGCCTCCTGAGTAGCTGGACTACAAGTGCACGTGGCCACCTCCAACTATTTTTAAATTTTTTTTATAGAGAAAGGGATCTCCCTATGTTGCCCAGGCTGGTTTCAAACTCCTGACTTCAAGTGATCCTCCCACCTTGGCCCCCAAAGTACTGGGATTATAGGCATGAGCCACCACACCCAGCTGCTTTCTGTTTTATGCCTTTGCATCAGACTTTGAGCTTGTTGGGGTGAGTCACAACTTCTTTGCCACGCAGTCCTCTGTTCCCTCCAGTGCCTGCTACGTAGCATGTATTTAATGAACATCTAGATGCTTGCTTGTTTTAGTCCAGCTTTATCCACAAAGGATTTGAGGAGACTTTAACAAAGGAAGCATATAATAAAGAAAACAAAATTAATGCAGAAGCAAAGAAATTATAAATAGTGGAATTAGCACCAGAAAAGAAAAACATAAATGTGTAGTCAATAGAGATTAAAAGTTGCTTAAAAAAAAACGGCTAAACATTTTCCTAGAATCTTTTTTGTTTTGAGATGAAGTTTCTTTCTGCCACCTAGGCTGGAGTGCATTGGCTTGATCTCAGCTCACTGCAACCTCCGCCTCTCAGGTTCAAGTGATTCTCTGCCTCAACCTCCCAGGTAGCTGGATTACAGGTATCTGCCACCACACCCAGTTAATTTTTGTATTTTTAGTACAGATGAGGTTTCGCAATGTTGGCCAGGCTGGTCTCAAACTCCTGACCTAAAGTGATCTGCCTGCCTCAACCTCCCAAAATGCTTGGATTACAGGTGTGAGCCACCAGGCCTAGCCATTTTCCTGGAATCTTTATTTTAACATATTTCTGAAAATCAATAATTCTGAGATCACAGCACAGTCCTTTTAGGGAATATCACATTATTTTCCCAAGTTGGAAGAGCTTAAAATTATTAAAAAGCATGGAAAATGTTTTTCCAAGTTTTTGGGCTCTGGATTTTGAAGCTGTGTTTGGTTTTTCAACTTGCCTGTATCTTCACACTCCAAGTTCTCAGAAGGCAGCAACTATCCTATTTTATTTTACTTTATTATTATCATTTTTTGAGATGGAGTTTTGCTCATGTCGCCCAGGCTGAAGTACAACTGGTCACTGCAACCTCCGCCTTCCGGGTTCAAGCAATTCTTCTGCCTCAGCCTTCCAAGTAGATGGGATTATAGGTGCATGTCACCACACTTGGCTAATTTTTGTGTTTTTAGTAGAGACAAGGTTTCACCATGCTGGCCAGGCTGGTCTTGAACTCCTGACCTCCTGAACTCCACCCTCCTTGACCTCCCAAAGTGCTGGAATTATAGGCGTGAGTCATGACGCCCGGCCACAAATGTACTACTTTAGATTATTCTTCTGTACCCAACTACATAAAAACACGTAGCCTTTAAAAAAAAACCAAAAACAATTTTCCTTCCTATCTGCAGAAGTGCCCTCTTATCCACAGGGAATCTACTCCAGGGCCCCCACTGGATGCCTGAAACCACAAACAGTACCTAACCCTGTATAGATTATGTTTTATCCCCATATATTCAAACTTATGAAAAAGTTTAATTTATAAATTAGGCACAGTAAAAGATTAACAACAATAACTAATAATAAAATAGAAGAACTGTAACAATATGCTATAATAAAACTTATGTGAATATGGGTTCTCTCCTCTCTCTCTCTCTCTCTCTCTCTCTCGCTCTCTGTCTGTCTTAAAATATCTTAATATTTTCAGACTGTGGTTGACTACGGGTGACTGAAACCACAAAAAGCAAAACCATGGACAAGGGGAGAGCAGTGTAAGAGCCAGAATCTTGAGCATATAAAAAATAACAGCAAGTGACTTCATCACCATAGACATTTTCTATCTGCATTGGTGGAAGTCAACTGAAAATCAGAAAACTAAAAATACTTAGTAAAATTACTGCAGGTAATTCATGGCCATAGCTCTTCCTTTATAAGAAGTAAAACGATAGTGGCTCTTCGGCAAATGTTGTAAATTTACAGACCATCCACAGGAATTTCTTTCTAAGGCTGTTTAATTTTGAAATAAACTTTGAATCACAGAAAGGCTGTGTGATTCAGTTGCACAAATAACTATACACTATATCTAAAAAGTATTTCCCCACAAATTTCCTGAGGTCCTTTGAAGATCACACACTAGACTCTCTGAGAATAGTCTTGATTTTGGCTACTAGGTTTTGCTAATCCAGAGTTTAAAAGAATCAGGCCAGGTGGAGTGGCTCACGCCTCTAATCCCAGCACTTTAGGAGGCTGAGACAGGTAGATCACTTAAGGTCAGGAGTTTGAGACCAGCCTGGCCAACATGGCAAGACCCCATCTCTACTAAAAATACGAAACTTAGCCGGGTGTGGTGGCATGCGCCTGTAATCCCAGCTACTTGGGAGGCTGACTCATCAGAATCACTTGAACTGGAGAGGCAGAGGTTGCAGTGAGCTGAGATGGTGCCACTGCACTGCAACCTGGGTGATAGAGCAAGATTCTGTCTTAAACAAACAAACAAATGATCAGTGCAGGTACCCATTTTTAGATGGTCTAACCTCGCCTGTTTGGTGTAAACAATGGTAGTTATAATAGAAAAAGTCCTGAGAGCCACTTGCAGGGAGCTGAGACTTTTCCATTCTGCCTCTGGCCCTTGCCTTGCTCTGGTCTGCTGCCTGCCTGGACACCTGTCTGGGAAACTCGACAACGTAACTGATGAAAAGGAGAGGGGTACTTGTAACTAGACTTTGTTTGGATAACTAACTCCATTCCCATACTGGGATCAGTAAGTGCAACTCCCAGCTGTAATAGTGATATGGTTTGGCTCTGTGTTCCGACCCAAATCTCATCTCAAATTGTAATCCTCATCATCCTTACATGTTGAGGGAAGGACCATGTGGGAGGTGACTGGATCATGGGGACGGTTTTCCCCATGCTGTTCCTGAGTGAGTTCTCACAAGATCTTACTGTTTTATGAGGCAGTTTTACCTGTTTTCGCCCGCCCTCTCTCTCTCTTGCTGCCATGTAAGACATACCTAATTCCCCTTCCACCATAATTGTACGTTTCCCGAGGCCTCCCTAGCTGGGCAGAACTACGAGTCAATTAAACCTCTTTTCATCATAAATTACCCAGACTTGGGTAGTATCTTTATAGCAGTGTGAGAATGAACTAATACAAACAGTGATTGCACAGAGGCAGATAAATGTCTGCTCAATCAATGAGCAAATATTTAGTTCTGTTCTACTCACCCGTCACCACACTGATGGAATGTAATTTCAGCCACAAGCAAACCTATGTTTTCATTGGTATTAGGTCCTCTTTATAGGCTTCTGACCAATGATCTTTACAGTTCCTGAAATATTAAGAAAAACTGCAATGATTGACAGATCTGAGGGGGCAACTTGGATCTTAAGTTCTCAGGGCATAAGAAGGCACTACAAGGAAGTCGGCTTTCCAGGCATGTGTTAATTTCACCTGCATACATTTCAATTTATTGTAGCAAATGTTAGCTGAGAATCTACTAACTCCAACAGAAGATATGCAGGGAAACAAAGATGAAAAAGAAACAATCCTGCCCCTAAGACAGGAGCCCCCAACACAGTGCATGGCACATACATGGTAAGCATGCAATGAGACACTGATTGTTTTTATATATTAATATGATACTTAGGGTATAAAGCAGAGTGTAGTAAATGTTCGGAGAGAGGTACTGATATGGTTTGGCTGTGTCCCCACCCAAATCTTATCTTGAATTGTAGCTCCCACAATTCCTCTGTGTCATCGGAGGGACTCAGTGGGAGGTAACTGAATCATGGGGGTGGGTCTTTCCCATGCTGTTCTTGTGATAATGTATAAGTCTCCGAAGATCTGATGGTTTTATAAAGAGGGGTTGTCCTGCATAAGCTCTCTCTTCCCTGCTGCCATGTGAGATGTGACTTGCTCCTCCCTTCCCTTCCACCATGATTGTGAGGCCTTCCCAGCCATGTGGAACTGAGTCAATTAAACCCCTTTTCTTTATAAGTTACCCAGTCTCAGGTATGTCTTTATCAGCAGTGTGAAAATGGACTGATACAGGTACAAAGCAAGTGCCCTGTGAGATCAGTATGGACAACATTCACTGATACTGGAGGAATGAGAAGGCTTCCTGGAGGTCACATGTCACAGAGACTTTCTGATGATAGGAGCCATGAGGAGCATGTTTCAGGACCTTAAAGCATCCTGTAAAGGCTCATTGTAGGTTGCACATTAGTTTACAGTGAAAAATACTGACACACAGACTTGGCCCAGAGGATGAGGACTATATTAGGGAGATCATTAAGTAGGCAGTTGGAGTATAGGCTGAAAGCTGGAGAAACCGGAGACCAGGAGACAAGTCAGGAAATGAAAGCAATTTTCCTTGTTCCTCAGGGATCTTAAAAGCAGGACTGCGTTTCAGGGCAAACACAAGCCTGGATAAATACTGCCTCCCCTACTCCTCAGCCCCTGCCGCTCCAACTTACAGAAGTTTTGTAATAATCATAGTTTGAAAACAAAATAGTAAACCCTTGAAAGTTGAGTAAAACCAGCAGGACCTAAATACTTAACTCATCTCTCAAACGTGTTATTTATTGACAGGAAAAAAGTTATATCAGAATGGTTAGAACAATTAGAAAGTTCACAGGAACCGAATTCTGAACTCTCAAGCCCACAACGATGACCACTATTAATAAAGCATTGTATGGATGTGTCTTCATAAAATTCTGACTACATTCAAGCCTCAGCTTTCTATATTGCTGGTTTCATTACCTTCAAGAGATTATGGAAGATCAGAAGTGTTATCTACCATAATAACGCTGTGTGTTTCTCTGAAGAGCTTAGACAATCTACACACTTTAATTAAATCTCCTAATGTCCCAGTGAAGTAGGCAAGGGATCAACAGAAGGCGAGTCATCAAAAACAGTGGAAGACTGGACCATAGGATGTACTTTGAGATGAAATCCACGTTTATTATTATTATTCCCATTTCACCAATGAAGAAATGGGGTTATTATTTAGACAAGGATGGTGAGCTATATTACACTTTCACTAAAGGCAGAATACACTGCTGTAAGTTCTGTAAGCATCACGTGGGAGATCTTTAAAAACAGTATAACAACCGACCGGGTGCCATGGCTCACGCCTGTAATCCCAGCACTTTGGAAGGCTGAGTGAGGCAGATTACCTGAGGTCAGGGGTTTGAGACCAGCCTAGCCAACATGGGAAACCCTCCCTCTACTAAAAATACAAAAATTAGATGGGCTTGGTGGAAGGCACCTATAATCCCAGCTACTTGGGAGGCTGAGGCAGGAGAATCTCTTGAATCCGGGAGGTGGAGATTGCAGTGAGCCGAGATCATGCCACTGTACTCCAGCCTGGGAGACAAGAGCGAGACTTCATCTCAAAAAAAAAAGTCCTTGGAAACACAGTCATGGCTCCCAGTAAAACAGAGATCCCAGTCTGAAAAAAAAAGTCATGAAAAAGATAAATGTTGTTATTTTAGGTAATAATTTGGTATCGCTCAAGTCTTAAAAAGTAATGGAAATGCATATAATGAAATCCTAGGGCCATATACAGTTATAAAATAGGTATATTGATTCAGAATATGCTTACATGGCTTGATGATTATACAAACGAAAGACAGAATAAAAAATTTTGTTGAAAGTTTCTGGAACTCTAAGTTTGAGAAAAATTGCTTTAGAGGTAGCCTTTATTAATGATCTAAGAAAGAACTCAAGGTAACAAATTTTGTCTGGTCCTAAGGGAGCATAGCACCTGACACAGGAAGTGTTTTGGGGAGACCAGTATTTGATGGCATTTTACTACTTTATATTTAGTACTAAAAGTAAAGTAACAAACAGCTTATTTCAACTCCTGAAAGCTGATTTACTACAATGGGGTCAAGGGCAAATCCATAATGACTACACGTGTCATAGAGCAATAATCACTCTTTCCCAGGCTTTGAGACGAATGAGAAAATACTCTGAATTCTAAGTTCTCTAGAGAAAAAAACCTCACAAAAACAGAAAAAATCTCTACCATCAAATAACAAATTTTAAGTAACATATATATATATAAAATATAAAGAAAATTTAATTATATTTAATTTGCTTATATATTGTCCCCATAAAAATAAGCTGCATTAAAATATTTAGAAGGTTTGTCTAGCACCATAGCTTAATTTAAAAGCACCTCAATTATTGCTTTTACCTGTTTCCTAAGAATTCACAGGAAAATCATATATTTAAAAATTATTTGACACAATGATTTATCTATACACTTATGTAGTTATACAAGCAAAAATCTCTTTTCACTGTAGTTTTAACTGTACTTTAACAATATTGCTAATATATCAAATGACTGTAATTTTCAGTCCGGCAGGGTAGCTCATGCCTGTAATTTCAGCACTTTGGAAGGCTGAAGTGGGCAGATCATCTGAGGTCAGGAGTTCAAGACCAGCCTGGCCGACACGGTGAAACCCCACCTCTACCAAAAATACAAAAATATAACCAGGCGTGATGGTGGGTACCTATAATCCAAGGCAGGAAAGGTTTGTCTGGCACCATAGCTAAATTTCACACCTCAAGCATTACTATCACCTGCTTCCTAAGAATTCACAGAAATTGGGAGGCTGAGGCAAGAGAATCTCTTGAACTTGGGAGGTGGAGGTTGCAGTAGGTTGCCTGGGAAACAAAGTGAGACTCTGTTTCTAAAAGAAAAAAAAAAGAAAGAAAACTGTAATTTTCATCTCTTTTTCGGATTAGATTAATATCTGCAAATTTAATAATTTTAATAAATTTCAAATCTACTGCTAAAAAATGTCAAATTATTAAATGCCATCCAAGTAAGGACTGGTTTTGAATTTAGATTAACGGTTTTAAAGTAGGTAAACTATATTGTTAAATATTAAAATGTATAATTCTTAAAATGTTTGCATTTCAATTAATATTAAATACTACTTGGTTTTAGAATTTTTGAGCTGGAATAAACCATGGAGATTGTTTAATTTGGTGACTTCATTTTAAGATGCTAAAATAGAATCTTTTATCTTTGAAGGTCAGATAGCCTAAACTAGATCCCAGTCTCTCAGCTTGTCCAGTGTTTGTTTTACTAAGCTACATAGATATTTTCCATGATCATCAAAATTAGTTATTCTTGTCTCCATTCGTATGGAAGTATTAACCCAAGGTAACATCATATCTTAGCCTAAAATCACACCTGTAATTCCCCAGGAACAGAAGACCTAATGCCGATTTCACTGTTCACTGAGTGACATGAAGAAAGCCCTTTAACTGCACTGTGCTTTCCTTTTCCTAATGATAAAAATAAGACTCTAGTGGCTCATATCTGTAATCCCAGCACTTTGGGAGGCTGAGGGGGGTGGATCGTGAGGTCAGGAGTTCAAGACCAGCCTGGCCAATATGGTGAAACCCCATCTCTACCAAAACAGTACAAAAATTAACCAGGTGGGTGGTGTGCACCTGTAGTCTCAGGTACTTGGGAGGCTGAGGCAGAAGAATCACTTGAACCCAGGAGGCAGAGGTTGCAGTGAGTCAAGATTGCACCACTGCACTCCAGCCTGGGCAACGGAGCAAGACTCCTTCTCAAAAAAAAAAAAAAAAAAAAAACCAAAAACTCTAGTTAAATTTAGACTTGTCTTCTTCATTTGGTCATTGCGAAAAGTGGTAATAAAAATAACTCTGAAGTATATAGCATATCTAAGTGCAAACCAAATACCTAATATCAAAAACTCAACTATATTGAAAACAACGAGCAGTAACTACTTTGAGTCATAATTAGGAGGGAATACATACAAGCTGCTGTGTGACCCTAGGAGATTTGAACTAGCAGATGCAGGGGTGTATCTAACAAGTTCTGTAGTTCCTAACTTTTTCTAGTTTTTCTTTTTAATAATCTATGTTTATCTAAACCACATAATAATCTGTTTGAGAACAAATTAGAACCCTATGATTTCTCAAAGGCACCACTGATTCCTAAACAGAGAGAAATATGGATTACCTACAGCACAGCTAGTAGAATCTGAAGAATTTACTATTGATCCACCCTATAACTGATATATGCAGAGCATAAACCTTTCCAAATATGATTCTCTAATAGTAAAATATACTTTCCCAAGTGACATGTAAAATCGTCCAGCTTGAGCTGACCTTTAAAAAACAAACAAAACTTATCAACTGGAATCTCTTGGATAAGAAATAGATCTTGCAACTAGAAAGGGTGAGAAGAATCAGTAAGTAGGTTTTAAAAGTGTTGTAGAATGCAAATTTCTGAAGAATAGTATGTTGATACGATGCACAGAGAATAGTCTGAAAGAA